TTTTTTTTCGGTTTCATTTTCGTTGAGGTACCGGTCGTTTGTTTGTGCGTCCTCTGCCGTCTTCACCCGAATAAAACGCCCGGTAATTATTGCTGCATCTGGACTGAAAGTTGTGCCAAATGCAGCTGTAATGACAGGGCGTTCTATTCGAGTGAAGAAGGTAGCAGTGCGTGCAACTCCCTCCGCCTCCTCATTTTTCCTGCTTTTTCATTGTGCCACGTGGCATTTTATGCTAGTTGCCAGGCATCCACGATGTAGGGTATACATGCAAGCAAAATAAGGAATAGCGAGATGACAATATTTAGACTAGCTAAGCGCCCGCGGTGCGGGCGGTGCGGGCCACACCCGCAGAAATAAGAGTAATTGGCAACAAAGTCCAACTTTAATTCACGAATAAAAAAAATAACGAATAGAAAAAAAAATGTAAGAGAAAGGGCGAGGAGAGACAGAGATAGTCAAAGAAAAAAAGAAAAAAGAAAAGATAGAGATAGATAGATAGATAGATAGATAGATAGATAGATAGAGAGAGAGAGAGAGAGGAGCAACGAAAGAGCAAAGAAAAAAAAAAATGAACACAGGTAAAAAAAGAGAAAAAGTTTGATATGAAGATTTTTCGTTTGATTTAAGTAATCAAGTGGCCGCAATATGATCAAGGCACAATTATTGCGCAGTGAAATCAATATTGACTTAAAAAAGCGGAATAATATTACGTCAAAATTATTTCTCTCTCTCTCTCTCTCTCTTTCTCTTTCTCTCTCTCTCTCTCTCTACCTATTTATCTATCTATCTATCTATCTATTTATCTATCTCTATCTCTATCTCTCCTTCCCCCCTTATTTATTTGTCTTTCCCTTCCCATCTTTCTTGTAGGGGCAATTACGTAATTGAAACCGAAGACAATCATCTAAGAATTTGTCATTAAGGCAACGTCCGGACAACCGCTCAATCGACATCTTTGTCTTCCTATCTCTCTTATAAGACCAATCAACTTCCTTCATTGGAACGATGGTCTTGCAACACCTCATGAACAGAAACTCGTTGCAACACTTTGCGAAGATACTCCGCGAAAGTTCTGAATCGAGCCTGTCTTTACCGATTGTAATCGAGATGAATCGCAGCATCCACACATCTCCAAGTGTTATACTCGTATTCAATTCCGCTGCTGCTTCCACAATATCTTGCACCCTGTGAGAACTGTCAAAATAGGACAGGTGTGCAAGTGTCTTTTCCGGATCAATAGATTCAACAGATTTGTACATGGTAATGTTAAAATTAGAAGAACGTGGTTGTTCCAATGATCCTGTACGGACATGCAGATGGTCTCTTGACGGCGTATGAGCGGGCACAACACAACTGATAGGAGACGGAGTAGCCGTAGCGGCCGACAAAGCAGAAACAACAACAGAAGTAGTGACAATCGACGTTG